TCTAAGGAGATTTAATAAATACAAATGAGCAATTAACATGACCCTCATTGGCACATTTACTCCCCTGACTCCTGCCCCAGAAAATACTTTGGAATGCTCCAGTTGGGGCTAAAACAGACCTGGATCTCCACCCACAACAGAGATCTATAGCTTTCCTCTAAAGGTGTCCATTTTGGCTTTGTTAATTCCATGAGATGAAGCTGTCTGGCTATCTAATGCATGTGCAGATGCTAGGTGGACAGGGAGTCAGTCACTGCCAAGTTTCAGGAAGAACAGAAGGATAGCAGTACGTCTGGCAGTGACTCATCCACTCTGGTGACCCACGGGGAATTACCTACTCCCTCCCATACCCATCTGTTGATGACAGCCAATTATCTCAAACTCTTTTGGGACTTCCATCACGAAAATTCTCAACCCAAAGAAAAGAGGTAAGATAAGAAATTTAGACCTGTAACAGATTAGCTTATCTGCTAGTTCACTCAACAAAATCAAATCATACCCTGATGATGATAAAATCATACCCTGTGACAAAAATCACAACTTCTTACAATATATGATCCATCATATTTCATATATGTCGTTTTTTATTTTAAAAATAGATTTGTTGGGTTGGGGATTTAGCTCAGTGGTGCTGCCACCTGCCCTGCAAGTGCAAGGACCCAAGTTCAATCTCCAGTGCTACACACACACACACACACACACACACACACGCACACAAAAGGATCTGTCATGTTCCTGGGCATGGTGGTGATTGCCCAAAATCCAAGCACTGAGGGAGGCTGAAGCAGGAGGATCACAAGTTCAACTGTAGCCTGGGATAATCAGTGAGACCTCTCAAAATTTTTTTAAAGAGCTGGTAATGTAGCTCAGTGGTAGAGTGCCACTGGGTTTGATTCATAGTACTGCAAAGACAGAGAAAGACAAACAGATACATAGATAATAATTGTACATATTTATGGAGTACAGTAACATTTCAATAAGTATACAGTGTGCAAAGAACTGCCAATTTTTGAAAAGCAAGTCAAAATAAAACTCAAAGATAAATTTGGAAAACAAATTTCTGAAATTTGCTGATTAAAGTCATAAGAATTGTAGGAAAATGAGTCTCAATTTTTCAGTGGAAAATGAAGACTTGACTTAAAATCATCTAATTATAAGTAGCATCCCTTTTCTTATTTGGTTCCAAATACCTTCCTGCTACTGAGAGTAGCACATTAACATAGATGATTCTGTTTAACAGACAACAACATGTAATTAAAACTATAAGACTAAATTGATCAGACAACAATCAAAGCAAACAAAAATTCCTAGGAAAGGGTTAAAATTTGGCCTTCTACTCTACTCAATAATGCATGTTTTTCAGACTGTTCTCCTGAGGCTTCCAAAAACAAGTTCTACTTTGAGGGTGCCCTAAACCATTTTAACACAGGAAAACTTACACAAAGGCTTTTTCCTTTTATATAATCCAACATAAAATAAAACAATATTATCATTAAAAACCACCAAAAAAGGACAAATACTGTTTTTTCCCCCAGTACTATACTAGGGATTGAACATAGGGCCTTTACACTGAGCAACATCCCCAGCTTTTTTTTGAGACAGGTCTCAATAAATTGCTAAATTGCCCAGGCTAGGCTTAAACTTGCGATCTTCCTCCCTTAGCTGATCAGAATACTGGGATTTAACATTTATATTATGAAGTAAACTGAACAGAAAGAGTATTAAAGCTAAGTTTCATTAATGCACTGATGCTACTACCAGTCACACACAAACAGCAAATTTTCTGCATCATAACACAAAGTATTCTTCCTTATACCATAGGCCTAACTATGCCACACGAGCCTTACCATTTTCCATCTCCATACTTTCTTAAACCTAACTTTTATTACCAGGTAGTTACTTTAAACTCTGCATCAGTGTGTAAGCTCCTTGAGAGTATCTGTATTTATTCATTTTCTCAGTGCTCTACTGTACTCAGCACAATGACTTAAAATTTATTAGGTCAGTGAGATGCTTGCTGTGCCGAATCATAAACTAAAACAAATTTTTGGGCTGATCTGCTTCAGTAACTGTCAGTGCTAGTATATTCCTTCCCCCAAAACTCACCACACCACATGTACAAAATTTACACATTTTCCTGAATGCAATTATACCTAAGTAAAAACTACATCATAAAAATCTATAAAAATCAGGTACATAAAACCTTCATTTTTGAGGTTGTGCAAAGAGTAAGCAGAAGTATCTACCCTCTAAGAATGAGCAATTTAATAGAAATCACTAGAAAAATGTTTTTTCATACTAACATGTGAACTAATAAAAAAATGAGGTTTAAAATAGAGCTTATCAACTTTAGCCTGCTGCCTTTATTACCCTACTGAGATAACCAACACTTTAGTTTTCTTTCTGACTCAGGAGTGTAACTACTAGAGTAGTAGCTGCCATTCTAGAAATGTAGCTACTATAATGGTTGGAAAACAAAAGCACTGGAACATGCCTTCTTGGAAAAGCTTTTTATTTCTGCCTTTTTAATCATTTGCTTCTCTGTCATAAACTAGAACTCCTTCTTTTAATTCACCTGTGCAGGAAATGCATTTAGCATGCCCTGCCTTCCTTTTAGAGACTAGCCTTCCTCTCAAAGACTAGACACACTAGTGTCTACTTTCTAAAATGTATTGGTCTAGAGAGGCCAGTCTTATAGTTGAACTACAGGGATATCTGCCTAAATGTCTTTTGCTTAACTTTCATGGTTCATGATAGCAGTATACTTCTTGGGTGGTTCATTTCACATACTAATTTGTCCAAGTTACATTACATAAACTTTGCCTTTTCCAAAGTACAGTTTCCATTTGGGAATGGTAAAAACATGTCAGATGAGAACGCTGAGACTTGGAATATCTGCATGAGGTCACAAAATGAAAAGTGAAGGCAGCAAGCATTTTTCTTTTCTTTTGGTACTGGGGATGGAACTCAGGAGCTTGTGCTTATGGCAGGCATGGTGCCACTGAGCTAAATCCCTGGCCAAGCAAGCATATTTCAATCCTAGGTGCTATGAGAATCCCTGTGGACCAATCTACAGCTGCTGTTGCCCAAATCCTTGTCCAAGCATGTCTACACATGAAAACACACTTTCCTCTACTAAACTGGTAAACTCCTCCAGCAAAATATTTTCATGTCTTCCCTGGCATCAAGCATACCCAGTAACCACTGAGAATGAAAAGCAGAATCATTGTTTTAAAACCAAATCTGTTGAAATGAATAAAGAATGATTATTATCTACTGAAGTTTCCAGTACCATTCACCTATCAGTCATGAACTTACCAGATTTGAATAGATTCAGAAATGGTTTTATCTCACTCAAGGATTCCTAAAACATGAATCTATTTATTTAGTTCTGTAAATTCAGCATAGAACACTAGGGAGACAAGCACATTTTCACTATAAAATGGTACCCAAATCTTGTCTCATTAGTCTTATTTAAAAAAAGGACAAGGTTACAATACGACTTACAATTCTACACAGGAAAAGAATCAAATTCCATAGTATTTATAACAACAAAGTACATCTGGAGCTCATCACCAGCTGTGCATTATACTTTGTTATGAATGTAAAAAAACCAATTTTTAAATGATCTTTAAACACTACCGTTTTGGTCAGGAGAATAATATACTGCTGGTCAACTATAATACAACAATCATTTACTCACAATTTCATTATCTCTTTATAATTATTCCAGAACAAATTCATTGTAACTTACATGAGCACACTGGAAATTTTTAATTTGTATGAGGAAAAGAGAATAAAATGAAAACGGAGTACTAGAAATGTTCCATATCTTAATTAGGGTAATAGTTACAGGGAAATAGGTAAAATAGATACATATAGACATAGAGATGTATGTGTAAAAATTCACTGAGCAATACACTGAAGAGTTGTGTAATTTACTAGTATAGTTATATCTTGATAATATTTTAAGAAGAAAAAGAGGCAAAAATATGAAGTCAGGACTGATATTCAATTCATAATTAAATTTTCTATCATTCATTAACCAAATATTTGTTGAGTACTTTCCTGATTCTTAGATATAGTAAATAAACAGTAAGAATAAACAATATAATTAGGATACAGTCACTAGGGCCAGGGATTTAGCTCAGTGGTGGCCGGGCCTGCCTGGCAAGCTCACGGTCCTGAGTTCAATCCCTGGCACAAAAAACAACAACAACAAAACAACAAGATACAGTCACTGATTTCACAGAGAGTTAATAATCTAGTAGCAGAGGGAGACTAGTGAACAAGAAAATGCAATACAGTGCGTGATAAATATTCTGACAAGAGTAACAACAGGAATTTAGGAGGACATTTTGAGGTATAAATAATTCACCTTGGGAAAGCCAGAGTTCCTAGATTTTTATTTCACTCACATAACATCACACAGACTGAAATAGATCAATAATTTATGGAACACTTTAAGCACAATACACAAGGCCTCTGAAGCAAACTCAATGTTTCAAAGTAAACGAATAGCCACTGACACTTAGAACTCTCTTTAAAAGTTCTGTATGCGGTATCTGTTCATAGAAAATAGAATTTCACTTACTGTACTAAGTATGAAGGTAAACTGTAGTAAAGAAGGAATGATAAAAAAAGAACTAAGCAAACTCCAGGAAAATTCATCTTGGTCAGAAAAGTCACAGATACAAGAAAGGAGGAACAGCAAATCATAAAATAATTAATGCTAAAACCTAGAATAGCCTGCACAAGTTCTGACCAGTAACAATATAGGAGGTAGACCTCTCATTCTTGATTTATACCTACAATCCCTGTGATACACATTTATTTACAAAGTAACCCATGTTTCTCCCCATAAAGTAGCAAAAGTAATTATCTAGAAGACACCTTTAGCTCCATCCCCTACAAAATGCTCAGGGAAGCTAAAATTCCTACAAATGGTTCAAATCATAGAAGAAAAAACAATAGCAAAGGGCATAGACAGGCTGCTTTACCTGTCAGCCTTCAGAAGAAGGTTAGGTGGTAGTTCAATGAGCTGATTGTGCTGCACATCCAAGACCTCCACTGAAGTTCTTTCCAGTCTTTCAGGCAACCGTGCCAACTGGTTGTGTCCTGCTAGCAGTTTACGGAGACTACTATTACAAAATAAGCTGTACAAAGGGGACAAAAAACAGTAGGCAACTTACTTAGAAATAATGTTGGATAAAGATTAGAAAATGAGTAAAGATAAAATACTTAAAATTATCTTTGTAAAAATCATACATTCATTCAGAGCAACTGTAAGTTCACTAAAATCCCACTTAGAACATGTATTTCAGAAATTTCCACACCTTAAAAAATAGGCGGTAAAAATGATGAAAATATTATTGAGTAAAGAAGCTCAGCTGAAAAACAAGCTTCACAGATGTAAACACTAAAGAACTCAGTCTGACCTTGTTAGATCCACAAGGCAAACTTTATAAGATTGTATGTTTAGGAGCTTGTCTTACAGGCCTTACGTGCTGGGTATTATAACAGATTTGGAATAAATAAAGCTGAGCAATCTCTACATATAAGATTAATGTAAAAAAGATTCTTCTTCCAATTAAACTTGGTCAAACGCAATTAACAAACTTAAATTTTTCTTCAATTGCAGTCATAATTGTCTTTTCCTTTCCTTTACTTGCTCTCTATGTAATTTTGTTTCTTTTTGGTTTAATCCCACACCGAGGCAGAGACTGCCTTGTAGAGAGTAAAATGCATTTCAGCCACTGTTTTCTTGTGAGCCTTAAAGAGCTGTTTGAAAGCTTGGCTATATTTCTTCTAAAGATCATTAGAACTATAACAAACTATGGTTAATCTGTGTTAATCTAATGTAAATCTGATTGTGCTTTTCCGATAGTTGCAGGGAATAAAACAAATCTAAACACAGATTTCTGAAGAATATAGAAGTCAGATTCTAATAAATGCCATGAAGACTTTAGGGTAATAATTTATTTATGCTGCTGTCAAAAATGAGACATCCTCATTCACCTTCAACTTTCTACTGTTCTGGACTCACTCACTTGTGCCCACAAATGTTTTTTAATTTATTTATTTTTACTTGGTAAGAAAAAAAACATACATTCATACATATGTATATATAAAATGATACAATTATTATATTAGTATAATGTATTACTGTTACATATATATATAAAATGCATGCAATGAGTATCATATAATGTACATGTTTCATGCATAGCATAAATATGTATATTATAAATTATATATAATGCAATATATCTCTAATGTGTACATTTACTCAAGTATACACACACATATATAATGTTAAACATTACATATACACCTTATGGAATGGTTAAATCAAGCTAATTAACATATATATCACATTGTATATCTATCATTTTTTGGGGTGAGAACATTTAAAATCTACTTTTAGCAATTTTATATTTTTTTATTCACAACTGTTAAAAGTCACCATATATATAGAACTTTACACTTTAAATACCAAAAGTACATTCTTTCCTCACAAGGATGCTAGCAACTTGTCTCATTCCTTGCCCTGACATCACCATCTACCATTAAAGATACTGTATCTGGTTTTACAGATTTAGCTATCAGTGTAAGGGCAGATTATCCAGGTCAGTTGTACAGTGACAAGTGATACAGGACAGTCTCTGTAAGTCACTCAAATCCAATAATTCAGCATTTGGTTCATTTATTTTTTATGTATTCTTTATTCTTAATACATGGATCACTGAAAGACAGGGTGAAAAAAATAATTTATCCTGATTTTTCCAAATAAAAAATAAGTTTGATCAACTACACGATGAATAGTAAAGGCTGATTATTAAGATTTAGTTGTTATATAATGTATGATCACTAAAACTCTTTCTCTTTAATACATTTCCATTTCTAAACAATTTGTTTTGCTAAAGTCTTCACATGTCTTACCTAAAGTTTAAATATTAAACGAATTAAAATGAATCACTATTTTGCCTATTACATCAATAGGGCCCATACAAGGTTTGTAGCTAAATATAAAAAAAAATACATACCGTTTTTTCTCCATACACACATACACTCGCACACATACTTTAAATTCTGTGACAGAAAGGCATCTGGAATTTATCTTGTGAAAGCATTTGTTTAGATGCCCCCAAAGCCTGTACTCATGCAAAGCTAATAATCTTAGACTAAGGAATGGAGAATCCTGCCGGCCCCCACCCCACCATTACAATGAGCTACAGGGGTCACCTAAATGCTCAGGCAATGCAAGATTGTAGGATGTGGAAAAGATCAAGTATGTGACATGCATATGCAAATATGCAAGAAGAAAGCCCACCATTCTGTATTAACTAATGAAAAAAATAAACCAGAAAGAGAAAAGACTCTAGAGCAGAAAGCATTTTTACATAGATCAAATTTAGTTACAACAGACAGCCAAGGAACAAAAAGAAATTAACTGAGCTTTTTAGGGACTACAAATGCAACTTAAATTTCTTTTGAGAGCTGTACTCTACTAGCTATCCATCCATATGCCTTGTATCTGGTTGGCCCCCAACCTCATACAGTCAGAGGTGGGAATTTTGAGAGATGACTGGATCATGGGTATGTGAGACTGGAGTACTCCACTGATTACTTTAGCATAATTTTGGGTGTGGATAATGAATTTACTGAAGAGGGGAGACCCACCCTTGGTGTGAATGACACCAACCAACAGGCTTGTAGCTCGGATGGAATAAAAAAGGAAGGCTTACTACTTCACTGCTTCCTGACTGCCAAGCCACGGACTGTTTCTCCTTTGCCATGCCACCCTGCCTTGGAGTCAGCTGACTGGACTAAAACTTCTACAAACTGTGAGCTAAAATAAACCTTTCCTCCTCTAACTTGTGGGTGTTAGGTATTTTGTCCCAGTCATGAGAAAGTGACTAAAACACCAGGAGAAAGATAACACAAGCTCCATATGTAATTTAAAATTCTATATTAGCTGTATTTAAAAAAAATAAAAAGCGATAGGTACAGTGGTATGTACCTATAATTCTAGCTAGCCAGGAGGCTGAGGTAAGAGGATCCCAAGTTTAAATCCAGCCTGGGCAACTTAGCAAGACTTGTCTCAATGGTAAAAAATTTAAAACAGGCTGAGGATGTAGCTCATAGGTTGAGGGCCATAGGTTCAATTTTTAGTATGGGGAAAGGATTCTTAAAGTGATTTGACCCTATATAACAAAAATATTTTTATAATGTAGCTAATACACAATATTATTATTTTACATATAGTGTACATTTCATGCTTATAATATTTCTCAATTAGAATTAGTCAGATTTCAGGTGTTCAATAATCACTTGGCTTACAGGAAGTGACTACCACATTAGACAGCTCAACTCTGAACACATTTAGCAGGCTCAGTAAGCAGATATATTTCATAACCCTTGCTGTTAAGAACATTAATCATATACCTTTAAAGACCATATAAAACTAATCTAAAGTGAAAGTTACCTAAAGTAAGTTACTCCAAAATGACATACCTTCTACCATGGCTTCACTGATATTTTTGACTATACACTAGTTAAAATAAAATCAACAACAAAAACCCAAAAAACTGACTTTTGTTCTGTGGCTAGCTGGAAATGTTTGAAATTATAGATAAAATTAAAAATTCATTTCCCTGATACACTAGCCACATATCAAGTGCTCAGGAGCTGTATATGGCTGTGGATATCTTACCAGATCTCACAGAAATATAGCATTTCAGTGGTCACAGAAAGTGCTATAAGACAACTCTGGGACAGACTACTTTTGGTTATTAATTGCAGGTCTAATCCAATAGTCCAATAATATTTTCTGCCACAATAAATTTGAAAATGTTTGCTGGCTGTGATGGTACATGCCTGTAATCCCAGCACTCGGGGGCTAAGGCAGGAGGAGAATTGCCATGCATTTGAGGCCAGCTGGAACTACATAGTGAGACACTGCTCAGGAAATGGGAGGGGAGGAAAAGAGGTTTGATTTTATAAATACTAGAAATCATCATAGGGCTGTTTTGAAAATCCTGCTATTAAAAATGAAAATTATGAAATAAAATAACAAATAGAAAAAGAATGAAAAAGATGTTCTTCGATCTTTTAGTCCAAATTTCAAATCTAATTTGTTCTTTCAAGGTTTAATGATCTAATGACATCCCCCAACCCACATTAATAACAAGTTATGTTGTAAGAAAAACAAAATTTATTTATAGATAAGGTAGACATCTTAAGCTAGCAGGTAGAAATATATGATTCTGAAAGAAGACCTCATATGTGAATCAAATCCAGTTTTGAACATTTCTTTTGGTTTTATTTAAAAATTTCCACCACGCACCATCATCTATCTATTTTGAAACTTATGCCTGAGAGTCAAAGCCTGACTCCACTCTTCCAAGCACATGAGGTGAAAGACACCAAATAAGGTTTAAGGGCTGGGGATTTAGCTCAGTGGTTCTGCTGCCTACCTCGCAAGCGCAAGGTCCAGAGTTCGATCCCCGGTACCAAAAAAAAAAAAAGTTTAAAACAAACTCCTACTTTAGGAGTTTCTTAATAACAACTAAAACATTAAATCAGAATTTTTATTTATTGTTCATCAATTGAAATTCTCTCACCTGATATGCAATACTCACCGAGCAGGAAGGTCACATATTTGATTATGGCCAATATCCAAAACTTCTAGCTTTCGGCTTTCACATACCCATTCAGGCACATTTTCTAAGTGGTTCCTAAATACAAGAACATAAAATTATTATTTTTAAATTTAAATTTTGCCTCAAATATGGTTCTAAACGCAAAACAATTATAACAAAAGAATAAATGAAACTTTACATAGAATACCAAAATACAATGATATAAGTCAAAAAGGATATGTGCATTCACCTTATTCATTTGCTTTACTAGAAGCACAACAAATTGTGATAGGTAGAAGAAATTAAGAAAAAAGAACAGTTACACCATGTGCATCATCTCTACAGTCAGAAAAAATGAATTCTGCAGTTCCCCTATTACTTTGCTAGAAAGTCCACAGACCCAAGCAAATTTAGGGAGTAATATGTCTTATATTCAGGAAAAATACAGGCATACTTCAAGATAAGTCAAACAGTCAAATGACATAACAGAGCTTTATCTTTAAATTACATTTTTACCCTTAGAGTATTTCCCAATTGAAGTTGTCATCATGAAAACACAGCAATAGATAAATGATAAAAATGAGAAATATCTTTAACATGTAATCAGTGAAAAGGTATACTAACAGCTAAACTCAGAATTGTGGTAACATTTACTTGGTTATTACATGGCAGTGAGATTTACTGGAAACAAATAATTGCAACTAATGGTGACTTTAATTGTTGAATAAACTCACCATACATGTCACACACGGTTATAGCCTTTTCTCTTATTTTGTTAAATATCAAGTAACAAAGAACCTAAAATGTTATGTATATTATGACTAAAATTCTTTCTTTTTTTTTTTCAGTGCTGGAGATTCAACTCGTGTCCTCATATGTAATAGCAAGTGCTCTACCACTGAGTTATATCACCTGACTACAATTATTTATTATATAGGATGCTTGAGACAAGAACTATATCACAACAAAAGGGAAAAGAGATATGAAGATGATAAAATCAGGCATGATCTTAAAATCATGTTTTATGACTTAGCTATCAATTTGTTTTAACCAAAATAGAGAACCAAAAGACATTTTCTACTTACTGTCTATATATACATACTGTTCTGGCTTTGAAACCCTCAAGATTGACAAAATTATTTTATTTTATAGTAGCCAACCCCTAAAATATCTTAGCAAGAGAGTGAAAAATCATCCTTTGTGAAAATAACTTCAACATATAGAAACTATATATGGTAATATGATAAACTATAAATAATAAACTGATTTAGAATCTGTTCTAGGAACTCAAAGAATCTAGTAAACCCTATCATAGATGACAGCTTAGAAGGTGGATGAGGCAGAAATGTTCTAGTGGAGATCTGGGAATCAGAGCTACAAAAAGAATGCTAAGCAACATTTAAGTGGCAGAATTCAGAGACAAGTATGACATGAGTTTCTAATTGAGTCTGATTTAGGACTTTCAGTTGGTACCATATGCCAATTACATTCTATAAATAAAAGATAAATAGATTCATTCTATGGTTGATAGTGATATAAATCTGTGCAAGATATAAATATGAATCCATGTATACAAACACTTGCACTACTCTTACTTAAAAGGTTAAATGATACTCAAGAGTTTTTGGAGGAGGGGAACTTACCCAGATAATGTCTAACTTTAAGTTCATTACATAATATTATTTGATATCTATTTTGTGGGAAATGAAGGAAGAACTACTCAAATAATTTTTAATTAGAATTTTATAATAAAATTATAACAAGATTTTCCAATAGGTAAATCCTGAAATATCTTCACATAATTATGATTCTCTTATTAAAACAGCTAAGCTTATGCACTTTCTTGGACAAAGGCAAAATTACATATATTTTAAGTCACACTGCAGTTGTGATTAGAGTATGGTGACTGTTAACAAATATATCACAATTTACATACATATTGAAAGGGCAAGAGTTGTTATTCTGAGGCAGGCCACTGAACCGCTGAGCTAAATACCCGGCCCTAAGAGTTGTTATTCTGAGAGGCAGACTCCCACATGTTCAGAAATTCTTGGTTATTTCCTTTGAAATTTTCAATAAAATGAGTTTGAATTTTAATGTGTTAAAATTATTAAAATTTAATTTGTATAATTATATGCTGTACATAAAGCCATACCTTTGTGTTATCAGGAAAAATAATAAATAACATACAGTGTAGAAGTGAAACTACATAAAAGATAAGATGGCAAACCTATTAAAAATGAGTTAAGAAAACTGAGTGGATTCAGTGGCTATTTTCTACAAGTTCTTGGCAAAAAGATAAGGTATAAAATTTTAAAAAAGTAAATCTAAAGAAAAACAGTAGGTAATATTTTGGGGAAAAATATAAGGCATGATTAATAAAATTAAAGAGCTACTGGACTTCTAAGTCATAACCCTCAATTCACTAATCTTAAAAGCCCAAACCTGGTATTGAAATTATTTCCCAAAATGACACCTGAATTATTCTTGTATGAAGCACAATGTACCAATGTCTTTTAATAGACAGGTATTATATAGTTTTAGGGAACAAGACCTTTAAATTTCCCTCAAAATCTAGTTAAGAGTGCTTATGTATAGATTCTGACAAAATAATCAAAATGATCTTCTAGTAGAGCCAAGAGTACTCTAAGATATCCTCTTACCTTGAAACATCCATGTAGGACAAATAATTTGGAACTGGGTAAACATCAAGTTGAACAAGTTCTAGGAGAGGAAAAAAAAAATCCACAAAAACTTTACTATCCAAGTGACACAGACAGATTCATTTTGTATGAGGAATAAATGCTGTGCACTATTCCCCATTGTTTCTTTAAAAAGTATAATATACTTTTAAATTTGTAAACTACAAAACAAAAAAAGTAACTTCTAATGTATTATTCCCCATTATTTGCTTAGAAAATAAGATACTTGTAATCTCAGAAACTGTAGTAAAAAAGTGAACTTTTAATTTAATAAATGGGTAAAACAAGTCATTCGTTCTACTTTCCTATTTCCTTTTATTCATTTATGGTGGCTCTCTCCTTGTTATGTATGTCAAACTACAGTTGTAAGATTGAATGAATCTTGCTTTTGCCTCCGTCACTCTACCAAAACAGCCTTCTCTAGAGCCGTAGCGGTGAACCTACAGCATGCATGCCACAGTGTGCTGTTGGTATCACCAAAAGCTCTAAGTTGATATCACTACTCCAGAGGGACAAAAAGGAGATCATTCCTCTACTTAAATCTGCAACCTCTTAAGAACTTTATGACATGTGATATCATTGTCTATTCCACCAAGAGTTTTGCTGCACTTGCAAAGTGATTCACAGGCTTAGCTCCTTATCTAGCTACCTACTCTGGCCCCTACAATCTGTGAAGGGCTTGGAGAATGCCTTGCTGTACTAGTTCTCTTCTCTCTTCCAGTTATCTTAACTTCCATAGTTTCATGCACCCAGTTATGTGCGGATGAGTATCAAATCAACATGTAGCCTTGGCTACAAGTTCTCATTGGCTCACATGAAGCCCATCCCAATAATCTGGATTAACAGAGTAGGGACTCTCATTCTCCGTCAAAGCGTCTGTACACTGCTTTCACATCAGCACACTGAAGGCATTGCTTTGTCATATATCCCTTCTACTTAAGAATCTTTCCTGGTTCTCTATAGTTTACTGTACAAGCCATTATTCCAAAATTCTTTGAATTGCCTGTCTTTTCCCAATAGCTGAACAAGCCACATTGATTTCTTCCTCCTATTTTATATGCCCTTATTTCAATGTTGCAACCCTTTACTGCTCAGCCAAACTAATTACAGTAGAACATGTGTCTATTTAATTTTTGGCTTATTTTTCCAATGAGATGACAGTAAGTATATTTGTAAAAGATCCCTTATCTTTAAAAATGCATGAGCTACACAGTGTGCAAAGCAAGTGGCTGATAAACATTTATATAACTTGTACAATAAATACTTGTTTTTATTCAATTTGCTGATTTCAGGAGACTGAGACTGTCACCTTAGCAAATGCATGCCTATATGATCTTTTCATCTGGGGGCCAGCCATGATTTTTGAATTTCAAGGAAGAGATTTTTTTATATGATTAAGACCTTTTTTTGGGGGGTACCAACTTGCCAGGCAGGTGGTGGAACCACTGAGCCAAACTCCCGGCCCACAACTCTTGTTTTATGGTGTATCTATTTGTTAGTAGAACACGAAAGTGCAAGTTCTGAATGGAGTCCACAATGGACTTTCCTTTCACTCCTGATTACCGTATCATCAAGGCAGTCCAAGAAATAGTTTGTTTTTCCCCTTCATTTGAAACAGAAGAAACAAATCAACAGTGGGAGTAATTTAACTAAATAACATGAAAAAAAATCCAAGTTAGAAACAATAAAATATTCTTTTTTCATTCCCTTAAATATCAAACCAGCATTCTTTATTGTGATTTTTGGTAAAATTTGATACTTATTTTACTAATTAAATGAGGAAAGAAAAAAAAAATCAGTGAAGCAGAGATTACAGCACCAGGTAAATTCTAAGAACTGAAAAAGAACAGCTTTGATGATATATCTATCTACATTACATACCATTAGAAGAGGCATAGAGTGCTTTTAAGAAATAGCCACAAATGTTTAGTGTCACCAACTGATTTCTTTCACAGTGTAGAACTTCAATGTTGTTGAAAATCATAGCATCTAGATCACCAAGTTTATTGTCTCGAAGATCCAGCTGAGTGATATGCTGCAGAAACTCCACTTCATCTGCTGTAAGTTTCCTAAGTATATTCAATCTTGAGGAAAAGGACACAAATAGAGATCATAATTAACTGTAATGCTATAAACAAATGGCAATACCCTAACATGATAGGGTACTGAGAAGGTCTTACTGTACTATAGTTCGATGAGTTCTTTAATTTTAGCATCTGGCTATTTTGAGCTACAATTCCAAGATGTCTTAGCTTTTACAATATATTAAAAAACACAATTTGAGCGACTAAGGCTGGCAGAGGAGTGAGTATTTTGATTCTACAATAATTAATTTCCAGAGGAAAATATGTACTTATTTTCAAAGAACTAGGTTGTGAAAGTACTCATATCATAATAGAAAGAACAAAGGCAACAAAACCCAGGACAACATATTAAGCACATTACAACTACACTGAATATTCAAGGAAGGAGAAAGAAGGTAGATGAGTGGGTGGATGGACAGTCATAAATGATAGAATTAAGGGGTGAATGAAAATAACGAATGCAAGTTGCACAATGAATGACAGCTCCAGAGCTGAGAATACAAAGATTCTCAACTGCCCTAGACCAGGACTTGGATTGTTATTAAATGAAAGAGCAAAGTGCAGAAAGTCTGAAATTTACCATTTAGGATTTACTAAGAAACCATAAAATGAGGAACAAAAATGAAGACGAACAATTCTAGGATGGAACAAATCATCAGGAAAAACTAGCAGAATCTCTAGCTGTGAAAACTAGTTAGCTAACTGACTGATTTTACTGTGAATGAGCTCCCAGAAAACAAGTAGTAGTGGAGACTAGGAAACAATATAACAAAGATAAAGTTAGCTTCAAAAGGAAGAAAATAGATGAAAATCTCAGTTCCCAGTTTGGTAAGCTATGCCTAACTTCTTTAAAAACAAACAACAACAAAAACCCCCTACTTTTTATTATAAGCATGTTAAGTGCTGAAATCATGTACTTGATTAGAAAAGCAATGATATCAAGGATAGTTTAGGAAAAAGCCAAAAGTTTTATGTATGTATTCAATTTCTGCCCATTAACAAAATAAAATTATACAAGTGAATTATTAACTGTAATATTATAAAGCCATAGAAGCACAAGGATGAGTGACAGCACAGAGCTAAGATTCATCAAGATGCAAGCACAGCATATGGCCTCTTCAAATGTCCCCAAGATGATGTTTTTGGATCTTTCTCTTTTTTGTCCTGGGTTGTAAGATTTTAAAAACTGGCCTCTGCCCAGCAATTTGCTTACTTCCAAATGTTCACTAGATTACTAGAATGTGTAACACTGCTTAAAAAAAGAAAAATACATCTCATTTTGAAGACAAAAGACTAGGAATCAAAAAAGTTTTTCCACTTTTTTCCCCAAACTCTACTTTAACTTTGATAATGGTATTACACCTTCATTTGAAACAGCCCCCACCACATACTCACAATGTCATCCATTACTACTAGAAATAATGTGCTGATTTAATGAGACAATAGAAAAATCTATGATGATGGAAAGGAAAGTTAACTTTCCCATTATTTATCTTAAATTATTAACACCAGCAATGGTTCAAAATCAAAAGTTTTTAAGCTCATACAATAACAGACCTATTTAGGATAAACTTTTAAAGATGCAAAATGTGGTTATAATTCCATTCCAATAATATCTTCCATTAATATAGTGTTTTATTTATTTCACAAATATTTACTGAGAAGTTCCCACTTATATAAGAGCACTTTGAAGTATTATGTTCTAGCCTCAGCTGTCTGCTCAACATTACACAGAGCTTTGAGCAAGTCACCAAACATCTCTGAGCCTAATTCTAACCTATGAAATGAAGAAAACACTTTCATTACCCTGAAAAGCAATTAAGAAAATGAAATGAGTAATATATGTACCAGTACTTTGTAAACTGTGCAGGGCTTTAATAGTGATGACTGATGACAACCTATGGCTTCATGGCAATAACAAGGGATGACTAAAATGAGATGTTTCTCAAAGGATTTCTATAATGTACTGAGGAGAATTAGTTATATTTTATAGTATCCAATATAAAAATGACAAGCACTGATAAATACCATAAAAATGAATGAAATACAGAGAACAGTCACAAAGGCTGTTATGGAAAAGGAAGCATCTCAATCCTAAGGGTAGGAAAATCTAACAGATGCAAACAGAAGAAAAGTAGTCCACATGAAGCAGGAGAGTAGTGCCTGAATTGAAGAGAATGGTGCATTTCATGCCTGAGTGCAAGGTATGTGGGAACAGAGGTAATATGGCCAGAAAGGTCTATCAGTCAGGCAATATTTATCAATGATTGTACCTAAGTGCAAACACTGACGGCACTAAGGATAAATAAGAATAGTGCTCTATTTCCTAAACTTCCAATGCATCAGACAGGTGTATAGTCCTCCTGCACATGACCAGTACACAGCTTGGACCACATGCAACTTGCCATGCAACTCTGACAACACATAAAGTAATCAGTTCTCTGATGGTGAGTCTATAATAAAGCACTAGAAAATTATTGCAACGTCCAATCACCATACATTTCTAAAATATCAGTCTCAATTTCTATACACATCTCATTATAGAAGGTAGTAAATAATTGACTTGCTGTTCCAGGATGCAGGGTCACACTTGAGAAGTTCTGAGTTATATGGCTTCAAATGAGTTGCATGCTAGCAAGCTGAAGCCAGAGAGGAAAGCGTGAATACTGTGAACAAGAGAATTGAAGGCTGTGAGCAAGACTGCTTACAAGAGAGGCTGTGCAAAGGAAGCAGATGATTCAGTGAGGGGACAACAGTAGCAGTAAGAAGAAAAACAGATGAAAGAGAAATTGATATAAAAGAACTGATAGAAGACTCTAAATAGAGCCAAAAGTTTTGTGTCTGGATAGGCAGTGAGGTAGTGTTGCTAATAGCAAAAACAGGAATACAGAGGATTGAGGAAAGAAAGAAATTGGGCCTCTGTTTCACGTGTATTAGGTTAGTTTATTAATACAACAAAATAAGGAGAAATTATCTTCCTGGAAACCAAGAAGGATCAGGGGAAAAATTGAGGAATGATTAAAAGAGATGAGAGGTCAAAGATGGAGCCTGAGAATACATACAACCACCAAGACAGAAAATATGGATAGAAAAAGAAGTGACTGAAGAGCGAAAACTGGGTAGCAGCTGAACTGGGGGAGGGAGAGATTAATGATGCCACTGAAACAATGAGATTCAAAGACTGTTAATGCAAGGAAAAATAAGATTAAAAGAAAAATGATCACTTTTAATCTGCTATAATATTTCACTTGAAGAAAGAACCTATATCAACAAAACCAGCCCTTCATTCAAAGAAACTAAGTAAAACGCCTCTTAAATTATTCCACTAGCTTCAATTTAAAGTAGTAAGGCAGAGCTGTAAACAAATCTGAAAAGATTTTTAAGAAAAGTAGTTATCTCTCACATTCATGTAACATTCAGACAGTGTCCAATGTCAATTCTGGTATTTAAATATCCTGTATCTGATGTCCTTTAAAAGACTCAAGTTTGAACTAGAAATCTGAAGAATTTATAAGTCTTCTTCATAAGAAATGTGACTTCTAGACACATTACATTGATCTTACTTGTAAGTTAATTCAGATCAAGAAAAAAATGATGGCTTCTTATACGTACTAGGTAACTTAGAAATCGCCTCATGCTTATTCCTTGAGGTCAGTGCAACCCATCATCTTTGAATAAAAAGGGCCTAGATTTTGGAATATGAGGATTTTCAAAATCCAAATGACTCAGAGGCAAATAATATTAACAAGACAACGTGTTTCATTCCAGATACTGCCTCATTTCAGTAAGTTTTCAAAGTCAGATAAATTTGAACCATCTCTATTTCTTAATTTAAGATTTCTAGATCTGCAAACTGCTCACACTTTGCTAGGTAGGACAGGCTTAATACTTTCAGTCTGAGGAAAGATGAAGTCAAGAAATTCTTTGCGGGACTGGAATATAACACTGAACCACAATAAACGAAAACAAACAAAGGAGGAGGGAGGGAGGGAAGGACGGAAGGAAGAACAAGAAAAAAGGTGAAAATAGAAGGGAAAAGTGGAAACAAAGCTTTTGTACATAAGGAGGGGAGGGGGTGAAAGGGAAAGGGAGAAATGGCATTAAATTTATTTTTAAAAAAAGAAAGGGGAGCAAAGCATGTGACTACTTTATGCTGCTGCAACTGGATGAGCCTGAGTAAGGGTTAGAGGAATGTGAGAACTAAAGCAAGGATAGATCCATCTTTAACAAAGAAAGGATGTAAAGATGCTAAGAACGAGTGGGGAGAAGACCTCAGTTAGGCAATAATGTCAGAATATAATGCTTGCTGGGAGTGCTAGCCAATTTAACTCAATTCTCTCCATAAGTATAGGAATTAGTTTGTTATTAACTGTAATTTACAGACAAGAACAAAGGCACAGAGATTAACCTAGTGTTAATAGTGATTCATACTTAGCGATCCATTTTTCAAATGCCTATAACAATGGAACATAATATAAATTTTCCTTTCAAATTCTTGTTCCTTAAATTTTTCTAGGAAAACATATATGAATCTCATGTAAAATTTCAAAAAAGTCTTCAGCATAAACAGCTAAAGATTTAACTTGGCTAGTATATGGTCATTACCCTGGATAACGGGGAAGGGATAATTTGTTGAAAAAGTATCAAATCAGGCAAGGTAGCATTGAGAATTAACCCCTGTATGCTGCTTTTCAAGAACTCAAGCCCCCAGTAGGCACTTATTTTTTCTTAAAAGGGATTTTAAAAAGTTTCCTCCTCATACACTGGTCTCTAAGCATTAGAAAACTAAACCTTACATAGGAAAGGATGGATGCTGAGCTGAGCATCAATCATGTAGCAAGGATTGTCCAGAGAGAGTTTACTGTGATCAGCATTCAAAATATAAGTTCTCTGTTCTTGCAGTGTGTGAAAGCAGAGGCTATAGCCAAACTTCAATCTGAGAAAATTAATGGATTTAAATTTTTTGTAAAGAATGCTAAAGTCAGAGCACCTTGGATGAAGAGAAAGGAAATTAAAGAAGTAAAATAAATATATTTTATTTAATGGATAAATTTATTAAGCAAGCCCAGGAAAGAAAATAATTTCAGAAAAGGGAGATGCTCAATGATGTAAAATGTCTAAGATAAGTTGCAGTTATGAAGGACTAAGAGAAAAATTTCCACTTGCTCTCAATATCCCTTACATTTGCTGTAAAAATCTGACTCAATGGTCCTATTTATGCATACTAAAATAAAAACATCAAATTTTCAAAGTTACAAGAATTTTTTAAAACAAGTTTCACATGTTTTAAAGAAGCAAATTCTACTATTAATTATTATTCTTCTCTCTAGGCAGAAATAGAAAAATATGTCCCAGTTTAACCAGTCTATATACTTTGGCTAATCTCACCAAGAAGGCTACAACCCATTCCACAAATAGGAGCCAAACATTCAAATGGGATATACTTCTCAAAAATAGTTACCTTAGGTCCACATGTTTAATGTGAGGCATTCTTCTTAAAGACTGCAGCCTAAGGGTCTCCATACAGTTTCCAGACATACAAAGTTTATCCACAGCAGTTAATTTTTCCAACACCTCTGGAATGTCAGTGAATTCATTGAATGAAAGTCCAAGATAACTGAGCTGGTGCATGTTCTCCAACTCAGCAGGAAGGGACTGGAGAAAGTTTCCATCCAACAAAAATGTCTGCAAACTTTTAAAGAAAACATAAGAATTATGAAGACAAGTATACTTTTTACATCTTCATTATCAATATACCAGTTGATAATAAAGTCAATAAAGATTGTATAACTAGATTATATACCATTCTTTAAAAATGCATAAGGACAGGGACTAAGGCAATAGGTGAGGGAAAAAATCAGAGATCAACATTTTATGCTTTAGTTAAAAATGGAAAATAATGACCAATTTTCACAACCAAGTAGGTATAAATGGAAAAAGATCTAATCTGTGGTGTGAAGTAGCCCAAATTTCAACTTCCTTGTTATTTCTTAAAATTAATTTGTAAGTTATTAAATTCAAAATTCAGAAAAAATAAGAAAATAACCCCGTCCTCCATGTTTAGTTGCACTCATCCACAGGGATCTTCCATTCTACCCAGGATATTTCCATTTTAAAAGGATTCTCAAGAGTCTGAACACTAACAAATGAACTCTACATAAAGCTTGAGCTCTAGATCTGTGTCCAAGACTTACTTAACCAACATAATAGGTTAACTAATCTCACATACTAGAACCCAATGCAGATTCCTCAGTGAGGTTTAATGTACGCACTTGTGCATAGCCCCCACAGCAGCTGGGACTGCTCGCAGAGCATTGCAGGACAAGTTCAGCTCTGTCAGGGTCGGAATACTGCAGACTGCTAATGGGAAGTCCCCTAGATGATTATTGGAAAGGTTAAGACTCTTCAACTTGGTGAACCTATTACAGTAACACAAAAGAAAAAAAAAGACAAATGTCACAGGTGTATAACATCACATAGTAAAAGCACAATTACCGAGATAATATAGTCCAACTTCCAAATACAACTGGAACAACAACAGAGCACTCAAGAGTTTAAGGGAGCAGCAGAGCTAGAATGTACAACTGACTCTAAAAAATTGTTTCATCTAAAATGTAAACCTTATATTTAGAAATAAACTTGTTTATAATAAAGTTAAATATTTGAGGAAGTGAGTTGTGCAAAGTAGTTTTTTCAGCTATGACTCAGCTTGCATAATCAACACCCAAGTAAATGATCTTGGTGAAGGAAAACAAAGAACAGGCAGAACTGGTAAGCTGTCGGATCTCTTAAGGATTCTATTATTTCAGACAGGTCAAAAACTTCTGCTTCTGTTTTCTTAAGTCCAAAACCAAATGAGAAATGATGTTCTCCAAGGTAGCCAGGGCTTTGTATTTCCAAATCGAAGAGCCAATTACTACCATTCCTGGACCTCAGGTACAGCAACTGATACTGCTGCCCTTCTTGAAAAGTTCTCATTTCAAGGTAGCAACATTTTCCTCACATGGCCTCTTCCTAGTTCACCCTAGTCGGCATCTTCTTCCTCTCCTTTTCCCAACCCAAAGTACTTCTTACACATTCTTTGTTAGTTTCCTTCTCACTCTATATTGTTTTCCAAGGAAATTTCACCGCTATGTGAACAACTCAATGATATCACATGCTATTTCCTCTCCTGTCACCCTACATTTTCCTGTCAAAAACTGAACTTGCTCTCTTCATCCCATCCCAGTATTCCCTTTCCTGGTTATTTTTGTTAATGGCTCCTTCATTTTCTCAGTTGCCTAAGCAAGTAAAGAAACTGCAGAAGCTATATTTACCTTATACTTCTCTGTTAATTCTTACATTTGGCCCACTGTCGATCTCTACACTATTGCTATATGAGATGAGAATCAGATTGGTTATTGCATTATGCTAATTTCTTTAAAAACTGCCCAAGCCTAATATTAGATAAGTATGTATGTATACACATACATCTTAAAACTAGACCCAAGCCGGATGTGGTGGCACACGCCTGTAATTCTAGCACTTGGGAGGCTGAAGCAGGAGGATCGCTGTGAGTTCGAGACCAGCCTGGGACATAGTGAGTACTAGACCCAAGCCGGATGTGGTGGCACACGCCTGTAATTCTAGCACTTGGGAGGCTGAAGCAGGAGGATCGCTGTGAGTTCGAGACCAGCCTGGGCTACATAGTGAGTTCCAGATCAGTCTCAACTACATAGTGAGACCCTGTCTCAAAAAACAAAACAAAACAAAAAAAACCAATCAAACAAAAGTAGATCCAATTCAACCCCATCAGCATTTTAAAGAAATTATCATGTGTACTATTTAATATTTTACAATGTTAAACTTTAACCTAAAAAGATAAGTAAAAGTATAGGCTACACAGTAAGCTCACAAAGCACTTATATGAGAAGTTCAAAGTGTTACTTTTGTCCTTTATATCTTTATTTACAATAGCTGTTTTCTTCTATGGGTTAGTATAGACTTAACAGTATTTCAAAATTTTTAAAAGTGAATTACTGCAAAACCTGAATGACTTTAAGTCGGTTTTCTATTTTATACTTTGATCCATTAGAATATCTAAAATAAACATGCTTATCCTCTATTCTGATTATCTACGATTTATAAAATACAATCTAGAATTACAGGATTTTTTCTTTGTCCAGTGGTTCTCAAGGCATTCTTGGGAGACCCTCTGAGAAAATCCCCAAGGTCAAAACTTTTCATAAGCCAGCCGTGGTGGTACATGCCTATAATCCCAGCACTTGGGAGGCTGAGGCAGGAGGATTTCTGCAAGTTCCAGGTCAGCCTGGGCTACATAGTGTCTTCAAGGCTATCCTGAACTACATGAGACCCTGTCTCAAAAAACAAAACAAAACAGCAAAAACTTATTTCATGACAATACTAAGATCTCATTTGATTTTTGTCATCTTCATTTTCTCTCAGGTGTTCAGTAGGATTTCTAGGTGATGCATATTCTTGCAATAGCACATATGATTGAATGCATAAAGACACAAAACTCCACCCAGATAGTAAAGTATAAAATAATGACATTCTTCTCACTGTTTTGTAAGTTATTTTATAATAACAATGTTATTTTAACATTGTTTAAATGAGCTACTATATATTAAAAATAGTTCAGGTTAAATTCTAATTCAGTAAAATATAAACATATTTGATCCACATAAGTACAAACTGCTTGCGCGTCTCAGTTTCTGAGAGGGTAAACAAGTCCTGAAATAGGATTGCCAAATAAAATATAGGCTATCCAGTTCAATGGTGAATTTCAGAAATATTTTTTAATCATGAGTATGTTCCAAATATTATACTAACAGTTTTGTTCATTATCTGAAATTAAAATTTATTTTTTTTAATTTTTATTGAGTTTATTGGTACTTTCTAGGTATACAGTACAGTTCCATTCATTACTGGGATCTTGTACCTCTACATGACAGGTCTTGGTTCTCATTTTTTCCCCTTGTCCCTGCCCTCCCTTCACCCCCTCCTCCCCTCCCCATTTACAAAAACACTTTATTTCCATTTTTTCAGTTTCTCATATTTTTTTCCTCTCCCTTATTACCTTTCCCCCACCCTTCCCACTTTCCCTACACCTTTAGCCCTTTACTTCCTATTTCACATTATTAATTATCTCATTAGGATCTTGTGTACTATTATAGTTTATCACACCAGAGAAACTATTTGGCATGAAATTCAAATTTAAATAGCACTTGCTTCATCACCCTCTCCCCTCTTGCAAATGTGGCAACTCTACTTGGGATACAACACTTGTCCTAGTCACTGCAGATTAAACTGCTATTCTCTCCCGAGTACCTCCCTTTAGAGATAATTTTCTTCATTTGCTAGAGTAGTCCACAATTTTAAAATCTGCATGCTATTAAGTCTAACTTTTTAAAGGCTAGGAAGAAAAAGATCCACTAGATATTATACAACCCAATACAATACACAGACTCTTCAGAAAGAGGGGAACAGGAGAATTTCAGTCAGTAATTACCAAAGACAGGAAACAGAAGCACTGGCTTTTGGAGAAGCATTGGTTAATAATGGAACAGAGTGGGATATAACTCATTTATGCAGAAAATTTTAGTAGGACTCTATTACTGCTGAGTATAAACAAAAACAAAGTAAGTTGCAAAGTAAGCCACAGTTGAAAAGCTTAAATGAAAGCTGAGTGAAAATGCCTCTTAACAAGTAACCCCCATTCATTTTATGTGTGCATCTACCATATTTTGAAATGGCTACCAATTCTAAATATAAAGAGTTGCAATTATTTTTCTCATCAACTCAATGACAAAACACTGCTGGACTTATGAAAAGAGGATGACCCTCAAACTTGGGCCAAGCACTCCCTAGAGAAAAGTGTGTCAGGTCCCTTCCCCTGTAGCTTCAAGAACCAAAAAACAAACAAACAAACAAAAAGCCACACACACACACACACACACACACACACACACACACACACACACGCCTCAGGGGGAATCCTGAGCACTTGCAATGAGAATATCCCAAACTGAAATGTTCTCCTAGTTTTTGAAACAGCATTGCTCTGTGTAAGTTCAAGCTGGCCTTGAACTCACTAGATAGCCCAGGCTAGCCTCAAACTTGCAGTGATCGTCCTGCCTCAGCCTCCCCAGTATTGAGATTACAGGCATGTGCTGCCATAACCAGCTAGGTTTAATATCCCTTATCCAGTTGATTTTGGAGCTTTTTACATTTTGGAATATCTGAACAGACTTACCAATTGAACATGCTTAATCCAAAATACCAAAATCCAAACCTGCTGGAGCATCATGTTAGCACAAAAAATTTCAGATTTTAAAGCATATCAGATCTTGGATTTTCAACATTTAGGGATGTTTCAAATTCTTAGTACCAAAAAAAAAAGTATGTAAACTATCTCATTAAGTTTTTAGAAGTAATAATTTTGATAAGATTAAATGAAATAGTATTAATTTCACTATTTATTTTTACCTTTTTAGCATGAATAGCAAAAAGTTTAAAGTTATATATGGGATATTTCCATTGGAGAAATGCTTTCTCCATATGAAGAATAAGCAGGATCCTAGAATTCACTACCCAAATGACACTAACCCTGTTCCCAGTTTGTGTGGCCCATCTCTGGGTCCACTTTCCCACCTACATGTGCATCCACAGGCCTGAGGGTTCACACAGCTTGGGTGTGTGGACTACAGTGCTCATACCCCTGCAGGGTGGGAATGGAACTGTATTGTTTCAGTTCTGTCTTTATATTCACTCACAGATATTTCCTCACAGCTGTTCAATACAGGTAAGAAAGGAGAATCAGAGTATCACATAATTTAAGATTAATAAAATCTATTGTAATAATGAATATAACAACTGTATTAGTTTAGTAATAGGGATGACTCTACTTGATGGCTTCAAAGAGAAAAAGGACAAGAAAAACCTATGGGTCTTACTGTTTCTTAAAGCATTTTTAGTATATGTATGATATTATATATATTTCTTAGTGTGTACTACTATAGTGTATATTTATGTACACAGTGTCAAGGATGAAGAAAGTTATTTAAAGTAGATGCTGTGATATCAGTGTATGTTTCTTGCAAAACTCCTATGCTGAAACTTAATCCCCAATGTGACAGTATTAAGAGGTGGGCCACTCTATGAATAGAATCAGAGTTCTTATAAAAAATTGAAGGGAGCTGCCTTGTCCTCTCATCATGTAGGGACACAAGGAAAGAATGCCTTCTTTGAAGTACAGCCTTCACCAAACACCTAATCTGCCGGCACCTTGATCTTTTCTCCATTTATTAAATACAGTATTGTGAATTTCTATGCTTATAAATTATCTACAGAGGTATTTTATTAGCACAGTTCAAGTGGCCTAAGTCAGTGGATATGTTTATATGTCATGGGTTATTAA